CTCTCTCTCTCTTTTTTATCTCTCTCTCTCTCTCTCTCTCTTTTTTATCTCTCTCTCTCTCTCTCTTTTTTATCTCTCTCTCTCTCTCTCTCTTATTTGTAAATATTTTTTTCCTTTATTTTTATGCGTTACAAATCAATATAGTATATATTGTAGTACCAAGAACTGTGATAAGTATTACATATTAAGAAAAAAAATGTGCTGATAGATATTTAATTGTACTTTTTTTTGATTGGCTCTAATTCTTTGAATAACAGATTTCAACGTGGAACATAGTTTATGAAATGTCCGTGTGTAGTTATAAAAGATTAGTGAATGTATTGTCTATTGTAGTGCTCCTATGGTTTTCTTTTTATTCTTGCGTGTTTCTTAAAATATAATTGTCAGCCTATTTCCCTCACATAGTTGGACCTTTAAGTGGTCTGTTAATGATTTTTAAAAAATCCAAAGACTGGAAAATATCATATACTTCAGAAATCATTTGTTCTAGGAAGCTTTTTGCAGATTGATAAATGAACTTGTTTATGGCCAACCTACCAGTCTTGTTGTAAGAAAGGCATTCATATAGAACTTAAAAAAGGGTTATGTTACCAAGCTAACATTCAGAAATACTGGGATTCAATCCATTAAACTACCTATACAAGCTATAATGAATGATTGCTCTTTCTGTGCCGTGGTTGTGGAATCTTTAGGCTCTGATGGTGTTAGTTCATAGCTTATACTTTGAATTTTTCAATGTTTTTATTGAAAGCAGTAAATAGCTTGTCTGAAATTAACATTGGGTGGGGCAATATTGTCTCTACACCTCTTTTCTGATCTGTAGGCAGTTTGATACTAAGCCCCCTCCCATACAAGAGCAGTGCTCATGTGGGTAGAAATAGTAACTGAATTATGACTCCATGCCTGGTATAGGCAAAGAAATTATAGACAGAAGCCACAGGTGTGCCCATCAGAATGCACATTTATATGCCCAGGATCCATGGCTAGTTTTGATAGCAAGTTCATTATGTGCCTGGAGCCTTTAGAGTTTTTTTTACTTATTAGGTATTGGGAATGGAGCCTGAAGACATATCAGGCATTATTTCCTTTAGCACTACCTTCAAGTGTGCCAGAATTCAACATTTTCAGTAGATTTTAGTATCAAAATTAATCAAAATATTTTTCAGTTAGCAAGAAACCAACACTGATGTTGGTTTCTTTCTATGTTTCATTGACTGAAGATTAAGAAGCAGGTCTTCAAAACATTTTATTTTTACAGTTTCCTGGAGTAGTAGCCTACAACATGAGCAAGGCTGCTGTGGACCAGTTAACTCGCTCTGTGGCCCTTGAAGTTGCAGAGCGTGGTGTTCGTGTCAATGCTGTCAATCCTGGAGTTATAGTAACTGAAGTACATAAGAGAGGTGGCATGAGTGAAGAGGATTATAAAAAGGTATGTTTACATTCTGTGATTCAAAATCAGATATGATTTACCAGATTGAATGCATTTATCAATGAACTTCTATACTTGCTTGTTTTCAGCTCAAAAACAGAATTCTTTTCAATATGTACCTTTTCATCTGAAAGTTAGCCCACAAACAACAGGTGTCCCATATATGAGACACCTGAAAAAATAAACCTTGCTGGGCATCCCGCCAGTGTCATGCCGTTTCGGGGCTTGCACTCCAACACAGCAGTGGGCTGCAGCCAGCCGGTGGGCAGGGTCCGGGGCAGCCCCGCCAACGATTTTGTTGCTACCCAGTATCTTTTATTTTGGCTTCATAATATATCGGCGTTAATGGGTTTTAACTTCTGATGCCGTTTTATTCTTTACTTACAGTTTCTGGAACATGGAAAGACAACTCATGCTATGGGAAGAGTTGGAGAGGTGGAAGAGGTATCCAGAGCTGTTGTCTTCTTGGCTTCAGACAATGCATCTTTTATTACAGGTGTTACCTTGCCTATTGATGGTGGGAGGTCTATAATGTGCCCACGTTAGCAATGTTGCCTTCATAGAGATATACTTGGCATTACTGTGGTTATTGCCTTCCCATCATTGGCTTTCATTTTAGGTGAACCTTGAATAACCTCCAGTTATTCATATTTTGATTGAGATTTATACATTTCTTCATATTAAACAGTCTGTAGTTACAATTTAATTTGTGATTTGCTTAACCTTCCAGAATCAAATCATGTTGAAACCAACTGTGTGCAAATAATGCCTTGACTTAATCTATGTAATATTTATTCCCTCCTTTCCTCATAAAAAAATAATTAACAGTAGACAGCAATAAATTTAGATATGACAGTAATCGGTGTGTAGTATTTTTTACATTTATTGATATATTTTAGAATACAGGAAATAAAGAATACTAGTCTTATTGTAAGAATAAAGATAGTGTTATGAAATATCAAATTATTTACTCCATAGTAAAGTTGAAAACATTTAAATGAAACTTTTATATTATTCAGATTTTTATTCTAGAAAAATATGAGTACAACAAAATGTTATACATCTTCATAACCTGATAGAGCAAACTGTTAAAAAGTTTACACAGGTTGTTAACTTCCACAAAAAAATAATAATAATAATAAAAAAATAATAATAATAATAATAATAAATACAAATTCTCCACTCCCTGATCTTTTGTTGTCAGTACTTCTTAATTAAAAGTAATAAAAACAAATTGCATATTCATTTAAAATAACAGTGCAAGGATATGCATGACAATAAAAATATATCTTTGATAGGGCTTTGAATTACAAAGCTGACAATCTCATTTCAGATAATAAACAATTACAATACTAATAACTTCCCTAATCTTCTACAATTAGTGGTTTCTAAACATTTTTTTCCTAATGCCCCTTTACCTCCTATGCTACATTTCTAGCTCCCCTCCCTTCCATCCCATATACACTGCAAATTCAGAATACATCTACACATTGTAAACAAAATGTTCATTACATATAAAACCTTGAATATCAGTTTATTTGGTGCATTACATGTGTAGATAAATTTACAGTACAGTATATGTGAAAAAATAATGGCAGTAAGTTACACAGATAAGACTGAATAGGACTTCCAATGCTTACAAACCTGAGCCCTGCAAAGGAACCAAAAATGACCAATCCTATGTTTGTTGCCTCCTCTGGATGGCAAATTACTAATCTGCTTTGGTGCCTCCTGTACTGATCAAATCTTTAAAATGTACATTCTGGCTTTCTCCAACAATACTATAAGATAAAGCCATACCTTTCCCAAGTATTATATTCTTTGTAAAATATTTTTGTTACATGTTCATGACAAATTTTGCATTATTACAATACTGATTCCCTGGTCACCATCCAAAGTTTTATTACCTTTATTACTGAATGGCTAAGAATTGTAATTTGAATTTATCCATAAATAACAGATACCATTATTTTACTATCAAATTTAAAAGGGTCTCAGAATTCTTTAAAAATTCTGTAATTTTGAAAAAGATAGGTTTAAAGACACCCTGAATATATCAGTAATATTAGACAATTATCTTCTACACCTCTTATCTAATAAGAAGCAACCTATCGTTTATTAATCAAAGCAGTGTTACCATGCTATTGCTCCAACCCATTTTAAGAAAAACAAAATAGAATTCAGCTGAATTTCAGCATGTAATTGGAAACTGAAATACATGCAAATTTCTATACAAATTGCAAACAAATTTTTGAGCAAGCATAATGCTTAACCAGTAATACTGTCAACTGTAAATCAGCATACATGTATCACATTTGGCAGTGTTTGACATTTTCATATTTATTGCCATCAACATGAATGTTATTTGCCCATTGTATGAAGATGCCCTGAAAGTATTTACATATATATATATATATATATATATATATACATATCAATATTCTGTGCAACCCTTTTATTTATCTGATTATCATCATTATTATTATAATATTGATTAATATTATTTAGAATACAAGGCCAGTTATAGGACATAGAATTGTATTCATCTGCTCTAGCATATCCTTTTATACTAGAATTATGTTTTCAGATATTTACTGTTAATATCTACAGTATTACCTTTATTATTTCAATCAGCTGGCACTTAATACTTTCGTTTACAAGGTTTATATTTGTCACACATATGAGCAATATTATTATAACCCCTTACATCTGGTTGCTTCACAGTAATCACATGGCCCAAAATACAGGCATTAGGCTAACGACAACAGCCAATCTAACGGATGTACAGCTTGTAGGCTGGTGCATGCAAGGTCTATACAAGTACTTGTATAGACACTTGTGTACAGTGACAACTCTATGCCTCCCCTTCACAATGTTTGTTTTCTCATATTATGCAAAAGCATTTGTAGGTTTCTTGCCATTTTTGTCATTGGATTTGCTTTGGTAATAAACTGTTTACCTTGCACAGATTCCATGCCATCTGTCAAGGTAGTCAGTAATAATAAGTTTAATTGAAATTTGCAGTCTTCAGCATCTCTCCTCCAGAGACAACTAATGGGAGTACTCCAAAGTTAATGGTGAATAGAGTTTTTACTCTCCCAAGATTCGATAGATTATAAATATATGTAATGACTGAATACAATTATATTTTCTTAAAAGTCGCTATATTCTGTCCCAAGTAACAGCTTTAGTATACTAAATTCACAATCCTAATAACTACCAGGACTTGATAGATTATTTTTACTGGATAATTGGGATATAAAAATACAAAATTAATTTTTAATGTGTGAAACAAGTAAAAGTGCTAGATATCAAAGGTCATATAGCACTATGGGACAGTATTATGTCGGAAAGGGCAATTATGAGTTATAGGGACTGTTCCCCCCCCCCCCCATTTTTCTTGCCGATTTTGATGAAATACACACCCTTTTCTTTAGACCCATGCCTATGGTCTTTTTTTTTTTTTTTTTTTTTTAATTGGCCAAACAGTTTTTGAATTATTGGGAAAAAAAAAAAAATCAAAATTGACAAATGCAAAAAATATGTAAAATCCAGAAAAAAAAATACACGCATTCTGATGTTATTTTTGAACAGATTCATCTTAAATCTAGTGCTTGTATGAAGCACTTTTTTCGATTTCGACTTTGAGTGTGAATTTTTAATTTATTTATTATTTTTATTTTATTTATTTATTTATTTTTTTTACGTCACTTTAAAAAAAGGCACAGGAAAAAAAAATGCAAAATCCATTTCATACAAGCACTAGATTGATCATTCAGCTACAAAATGAGCCATAAAACGTTATTTCGGACTAAAATTGCGCCTACAAAGGTAGTGTATCAAGATATCGGCATTTTTGTGTTTTCGTACATTTTCATGACCGTTTTGGTATTAACAAATCAAGGTATAAGAGTAGTCTTCCTGTAACATAATCCTCTACCATCTACCTCAATTCCAAAGTATTGCGGACATTGCCAGCACGTAACAATTTCTCAATATCATACGTATAGTGTCGTAGAGTGGTAGTGATTTTGGGTGTCTATAGGCCAACAATGACCATTTAAAAAAATTTCTCTAAAATCTACAAAATTCATACAGGCATTCTGATTTCATATCTGACTGGAACCATCTTCCTACTATATAATATGCACAAGCCAATTTTTAGAAGTCGACCTTATTTTTTGGGTGGGTGAATATTTTACAAACGCAACTATTTCAACATCTTATTAGGGCTTTTTGAAAATAAGTCACTTTTACAAGAAGCACATTTAAGTATTGCAAATCCTAATTGTTACATGTAATAATTTACTATTCAGCTTTAAATTAAGCCATAATACGTTAAAATCGGACCGAAAATGTATGTGCTATGCATGAAAATGTAAAGTACTATATTATCGCGATTTTTTTTTTTTTTTTTTTTACATTTTAGATAACAAATCATGTATGAAATACTTGCATGTGATATAATTATCTGTTATTCACCATTATTGTTGCTCTAATGGGGTTTTACAACGTATATTACTGGTCGATAAAAAATATCGGTCTCGATTCGGACGGGTGTCACACGCTTCCCGTTCTGAGCCTGACTGGGAGCAAGGTCTTTTCAAGTACTTTTATAGACCTTAGCCGGGGATCATTGGGCCATGACTCGCGAGTCTTCTCACCCGAGGGTTCGAAGTGTAATTCTACAGGGTGACACACCCAACTTTCACACTAACACTCCCGTGGAATAACGATATACAAGTACAAGGTGGTGTAAAATATGTATATAAGGTATGTAGCGATATACAGATCCTTTTCGTATATGCTATGACCTTTCGTTTATTTGTAATGTTACTTCCGTTTGTTTGTTGTTTTTTGCTCGTGTTTTCTGATATTTCTAAAAGCTATGGGCAAATTTTAATGAGGTTTTTACCAGAGCTGTGTTTTAACATAACGTAAACACCGATGACATGCGGTAATGTGGGCCATGGTTCAGATCAAGGATTTTTTTTCTAACCCAAAAAGTTATGGAAAGATTTTATTTATTTATTTATTTATTTAATCTGAGGTGTGTCTTAGCCTAACTTATATTTCATAAAATTTGGGTGGTTTGCATTTTCAAACCATTTTGTTCATAGATCAATTTTCGAAACATTTTGTTTATTGATCAAACTATATATGATGAAAACAAAGAAAAGAAAATACTCCACATGATCAGCATGTTTATTTGTATAAAAAAAACTTTTTGGTTGTTTTTTTGGACGCTTGCCAGATCTTTTAAATTATTCTGAAAAAAAAAATGAAGGTTGGTCTCATCTTACGTGAAATTTAATAAGCTTTCAAAAATAATCTCGTTTTTGTATTATCTCCAATTATTAAGTCACAAATACCGATTTTATAAGGTAAGTTGAAAAACATGTTTCGGTCGACATCGAAAAGGTCTGCTACCACCTGAAAAACAGCGGTCGGGCCTTGAAATTTTCAGGGGAGAAACGGAGATCCTGGAACTCCTTGAAAATGCATTAATCTCGATTTTGGCAAGAAGGGTGAAAATGGCGAAAAAAGACCAGACGGTCCCCTTAAGTTTAAGCGGTACAAAGGATGTTAGGAGGGTATAGGAGGTGGAGGGAACTTGAGGATGATGATGGATGGATATCTGAAAATACTTTAACTGTAGGAGTAGGAACAGAGGGATTGGGGGGGTGGATGAGGGAGTCGAGTGTTCCCTTGGGTCATCTTTAGGAAGTTTTGGATGTCTTCAAGGGTTTCTGTAAAAGGGACTGAGAAACAAAGGTTTCTTATGAGGAGGAGAAGAGGTATCTGAGGAGCAGAGGAGGAGGAAGGTGTAGGAGAGGAAGTAGTTGGAGAGGGTGGAGT